ATTACAATAAACGCAATACACTTTCAAGAAACAACAGTTACGAAACTAGCAGTAGGCATCTCCAATGCAAATAACAGTGCGTAAAACACAGGCGCTGCCCGATGTTGGTGTGGTCTCTGCGCCACGAATTTTACTAGACTTACAACGGTTTATCAAAACATAACAATACACTGATATCAATCGCTTACGAAGTTGTATCAACGATGTTTTGAGTGACCGAGTCGCTAATATTTTTCGATTTCGAGCGTAAACAACAGTCTACATTTTTGTTGTAAAGTTATACCTGTTATGGCTAACATATTTTTAGTGCTTATTGTCATTGTCAAAGCGGAGATTGAATTGAGTCGTACGTTGTAATGTAATGCTTTATAACATGATCATTCGCTAGTCAATGCCGGGAAATAATCGGTGAACCGAGCGACATGCGACATTTTTAACGAATCTCTTTGATTGTTACATTACAAGTCAACAGGTAACAAGTTACAAGTACAGATACGACGAACGTCTGTATTCCAAACGTTGTAACGTTTTTGCAACGATTTGAATACAAACGTTACAGCAATTACAAGAAATGTTGAACACATATATCTGAGCATACGAGGCTTTGGGCCTGAAGCTGAACATCGACAAAACTTATATCATGTGCACTGGAACCCCGGAAGATCGCAAAAATGTTGTACAAATCGGAGAAGAACTATTGAAACATGTAGCGGAATTTAATTACCTCGGGAGTTTGATTTCGGAAAAGGCCAATATCGACTCTGAAATGCATCACAGGATTAGCAGCGCCTCAAGAGCATTCTGGAAATTAAAAGACGGGCTTTTCTGCAATCATGACTTGAGCACAAAAACTAAACTTGCAATGTACCGAGCTATGTTATCCTCACCATGTAACATGGAAGCGAAACCTGGGTGCCATACCGCCGACACATGAACGCATTAAACAAGTTGCAACGTCCAAGATACGGGTGGAGTTCCCTTGTACCATCATCCTATGTACGGATGTCCTGTGGACAGGTGTCCCCAGTAGGAATGATTTTTCTTACATATAAAGTGCCCCAGCGTGGATGTAACTTGAGCCCCATGCTGCTTCGTTCCCATCTATAAGCTAGTCAGTAGTTACGGCTGTATCGTTTCATGGTGTCCTCATTCTGGCCCCTTTTGTTGTATTGGATGGCCGAGTACAGAGATGCGAGCCCACCTCACGCTGTTACTGTTTGAAGCAATATTACATAAAGAACAGCTAAGTGTAGATTTAAGTTCTAGTTTTACATTTAACATCTAAAACATTTTCAGTCTTAAACAATAACGTACATCTTAAGTACTATCGTACAGACTATGTTTAGTGGTTAGATTGTTAAGAACATTCATGTCGATTTAATATTTAAAATGTGATTTAGATCTTAGGTTTCATTACATTACGTCTTGTAATGGTATTACTTTCATAGATATTTAGTACAACTCTTAACGCCATTTTTTTTACATATAACGACTATATATTTATGAGAATTCTACAATGTCATGTACCAGCAAAGAACATCATGAAATATAGTCATTAGTTTTAAGTAATATACAACTGTGTTTTCTTTCTCTGTACATGCCTGGCGCCCAATATCTATATTTTTTTGTTTATTGTTATAGATTAGTTTTCTCTCTAGTGAAATACCTTACCCACGACTGCTCTCCGATGAAAAGCTGCCGTTCGCAGTGGTAATGTTTATAAAAAAACGCTACAATATGTATGAATGTATTCCAATCATATTTCTAATAGATAATTATGGTTAGACGTGTTTCTATTAATTGGCGGTGTCAATTTTTAGATCAGACATTTTTCGAAGGCTGAAAAAATACTGGAGCATAGCGAGCCGATCACTGGAAACGCAATTTTCGCGTTTTGACTCTGAACGAAACGTTCCTCGCGAGCAGCGAACAAGCGTTACATTACAGCGCTCGGATCAAGTCAGTCTGCGCCTTAGAAGATTTGTAGGTTGCATAGAGATTAGGCCATATTGATTACAGGTGTATGATTATTCGTTAAAAGCATTCGTTACCATCCGGCATTTACAGAGCACATTGCGAAATAGCATAAAATAAAAACATTTTCAAATAAATATTTGAAAATGATAATAAAACGGTAAAGCAATTTTAAACAAACCTTTGTTATGATACAAATATATTCTGCTTTTTTCCTTCTCCCGGGAATTTTCAAATTCATAGTCTATTAATTATTTAACGACTAATGTTCGTCCATTTTATTTCCCCTGTCTAACCCCTCATCAATGATTCAAAACGGCACATGTATTTCGACCGCCGAATTCCCGTTTTTATTTGCCACTTTTTCCGGCGGGCTTTCCCCATTCCCGGACACAACTGTCTATCGACCCGTTTTATTTTTTATCGAAACATTGTGGACACCAAACAAATAAATAAAGGATTAGGTGGCCCAATCGTTCTTGAATATTGATTCGTGGTCTTTCGTGAATAGTTAACAGATTTTATTTTTTACAATTTATTCACAAAACCAGAATCGAAATAGTAGTTGCATTCGATTATCATATTGCAATTCTGACAGTTCAGTTTTTGAGGTTAAGTGCGTTGCTGCGAGTGTTTTTTTGAACTTTCCAAGACTATTTTTGTGTTTTTATTTGAATATTTGGACTTTCCGAACATGTCTTCGTGTGCTGTAAGTAGTTGTTGCAGTCGACAACGTGTAGAGAGGAAGAAATCCACAGAAAATTGCATGTCACAGGTAAGTGTAAACATAATACAGGACCTGATTAAATTATTTTCGTATTTTCCATTTAACTAGTTATGCGTTTATTAATAACAAATGTTAAGTGTTTCTATATTGACAAAGTGTTTAGTTATTTAATACTTTGTTAGAGGCAATTAAGTAATTAAAACATGCCTCGACTTCTATTCTTGTAAAAAAAATTCTTAACAATAACTGTTATTTTTACTACATATACTTTTTTTGACAGGAAAGAGTATTTTGCTAGGCCAAATTTAAAAGTTTTGTTTTAACTACGGTTTATTTTTCTATTTTTACACTAAGATTTTGTACTTAAACATTTATTTACATTCCTTTTTAGCATCTGCTAGCATATACTATATACAAACTTTATATAGTATAGCTTTAATTTTTAGATAAATATTATAAAATCAACAAAGTAAATTTATTTTTTCTTAACGACTTATATTTATTGATAAACACTTATTATTTTAATAAAATTTTATATCAGAACATTTTAAATTTAGTACGTAGTATATAAATTTTGCTCTCTTTAGAAAATTTTTATCAAATAAATATTATATTAAATCTGATTTTTAGGTTTCAAAAATCCCATCCGTCGAGAAGCTTGGGTGAAGTTTGTGAACAGGAGAAACTGGCAAGCTACATCAGGTAGTGTTCTATGCCCGAAACATTTTTCTGATAGCTGTTTTGACAGAACATCTCAATAAAATATCTCAAATAAATAATCATTTGCTAAGATTTTAATGATTATATATAAATTTTAATGATTATCAAAATGTTAATTATGGTAAATCAGTAATCATGTTTAATTATTTTCCGCTTTTTTTCTATTTTTTTTTAAATGTTAAGGTTATTATTGTTAGATACATCAATAAAAACAAGGCAATTAGTTTAAGACATACTAGCAACAAAACAGTGTTATTTAGTGAGCAATAAAATTTAATTTATTTAATGTGTATTATTTTTTTGTGTTTCCTCCTTAAATATACATAGTATATAGTCATTAAAATTAATCTTGTAATTTATATTTTTGAAAAAATTGTAGGTTTTGTAGTTATTTTGATTAATTAATTTTTTATTTAAAAAAGTTGAGGTCGTTATATTGTGTAAAATAAAATTTTTCAAAGAAGTTTCTGTAATCCGGCCCTGCTAATGCCGCCATATTGGTGCTGGCTTAAGCCACGCCTAGTGTTACCATTTTTCGCAAGCACTTTAAATGCTCATAGCGTCTCCCTGTATATAACCTCATTGGCTGCAGTCTACTGAGGTGTTCACTGAGACAAAAAGAGTTAAAGTTAGTTAGAGTTGAGTTAAAACTAAAGTCCGACCGAGATCTCGGTCTCGGTTACAGTCATTCTCGGCGAAAAATCACGCCGAGATCCAAGGTTGCCACCCGTCCCGATTTTGTCGGGACAGTCCCGATTTTGATCCAAAAGTCCGGCGGCCATTGTGCTTTTATATGAATTACTCGTATATCCTACTAAGTAAAATAAATTTTTTAACTTAAAATTTGTACAAATTTATAAGCTGTTGAAAATGCCATAATGCTATAATTTGTTGAAAAATGTACCAAATCTAATTTGGTGGAAAAACTTTTCATAACTGAAAACGACAGATATTTATATTTTAGTTTAGTTTGTTGTTTGTTTTTCCAGTTTACAGTATATTGTGATATGACTAACGTACTCTATAACTGTAGATATACAAAATAACTCTTATATATTGTATACTTTAGCAATTTTTAAATAACTCTATCAAATGTTACTTTGTGTTATTTACTTTGTTGTTTCTTCTACAATATCTACGGTTTCTGTCCTGTACACATTTTTATACAAAAAAAAATACCTACCAAGGTTGTGTATTTGGGTGTTACAAAAGAAAATTACATACTAGGTCATACTAATCTAAGGCCACATTAGTATAACATTTTTAGTCGTGTATTGCTATTTGCTATTATTATTGCTTTATGTAAACAGTAAAAATATTTATGTACTATTGTAAACATGCATAATTTTCTATAAGTATTATGGCATTTTCAACAGCTTATGTATAAAAAAGAACTATCACCAGTGGATTTTATACACTAATGTATAAAAAAGAACTATTTTTGTCAAAAAGAAATTAATTTGCTGTAAATCATATAATAAAACATAACAATAGTATCCAACACACCCATAAATTCACCATTCCCAACGTAATGTGTTTTGAGGGCATATAATTAAAAAACTTTTTTTTTTGTTTTCAGAGAGCTTTCCGATGTTGATAATCGTCGTGGGTGTCATAGGCGCCATTATTCTGTTAATCATCGTCATAATGATCATTTTTCTCTGTCAGCGGCAGAACAACAAAAAACCACCCTCTGAGAGTAAGTCGCATTCAATTACGTTATAATATTTCCAGCGTTTAACTGCTAATGTTCGAAACAGGGACGGGGTATATATATTTCAAGTTTGCAACAAATAATTTAAATTATTACAGAATTGTGTACAGGGTGTCACATTTTGGTGGGTTTTAGGTTTAGATATCTGTATTTCTACTCATTAATGAGGAACATTAATGAGTAGAAATACAGATATGCGGTTTTCACATTCACAGTATCCCTGCTCATAAATGAGAGGCACTTTTTTATTTCACCAGTGGAATTTTTTTTTAATTTGTTACTTTTTGATTATACATGTTCCTATACCTAAAATAAATGATTTAAGATTTAGTTTTAAAGCGTTTTTGTTTTTTTTTTGCTTTTTAATCAGTAGCCTATGACTTTAAACGTCAAGCGATGGAAAACTATATCTGGCCGTGTCATAATGCCATTAGATACGAGATCTATTTTTATAAATACACTTTATAAAGTTTTAGCAGGCAGTAGGTATTTATAATATAGAAAATTCAAATATTTTATTTTTTGACAGAAGGAAATGAACTGTCTGATGGTCTGACACTTAATGTCAAAGAAAGGTAGACAAAATCAAGAAAAAATACGCTTTAAAACTAAATCTTATATAACTCAAAAACGATCAATTTTAAGTATAGGAACATGTATAATCAAAAAGTAACGAATTGAAAATCATTTTCTCTCATTAAATAAAAAAGTGGGTTTCCATTTGAAAAAAAAATGATTTATGATAATTTTGTAAACTCATAATTCCATGACAGCTACGGCCAATATTATACGACATTCAAACAATTTAGTTTTTGAAATAGATAACCAGATGTCTTCTCTTTATGTCGCAGTGGCTGTAGTAATCAAAAATTTGATGTTTAAGCTATACAATTTTTTTTGAGAGGCAGTTTTTTCCTCCAAAAATTTTAAATATGTTTTTTCTCACAAACGGTTAATATTAGGTATAGAGTGTTTGATATAAAAATTCATAAAATTTTTAAATGAGTATTTAAGTATTTAATCAAAAAGGGAGAACCCATTTAAAATAAAAAAAAAGCTGCTGTTAACTTCCGATATGAAGTGCCACGCCGCCATATTGAAAATATGTTTAATTGATAGATCTCATTGTAAAACAATGATGTGCAAAAGATCTCCGATCTAGATCTTGTAGTTCTCAAGAAACTTCTAATGCAAGCTTAGCCTGGGACACCCTGTATATAAAATACACGAAAATAGGACACCCTGTACTTGTATCATTTTTAAGATATTTAAAACATACCACCTCACCAATCAAATAGTTTTCTGTAAAGGGGGCTACAGACGCTCATGCAACAAGTGTACTTGTGCAAACGTACTTGTACAAGTTTGCATTGACTCCACACAATTCAAGCACACTTGAATAGTTTTAGTCTGGTTTTAGTAGGTAAAAATGGACGAAGAAGACGCGCTAGCTCTTGCGATGTTCGATATTCTGCTTAAACAAAAAGAAAAAAAGAAAACTCGTCGATTTTGATGCAAAAACTGCCTTCTAAATAGGAATATTTATTCGCATACTAATATTTTAAACGAATTGAAGTTTTACCCTGCTAAATATTTGTTCTTAAACTGTTTATTTTTTACCCTCAAATCGCGATTTGCAGTAATTTTTTAATTAAACTTTTACATACAGCCTCTCTTTTATTTTTATTATGATAGTCCTTGGATTTTACTTGCCATAAACAAAGAGATTCTCTATAAATACTAATGAACTCAACCAATACCTCCCGCATACTTTTTTCATGTTCACTAGCCATTTTTATTTATCTTCTAGTAACAAACAAATAAGAACCAAGCAATAAACCTACTAGAATCAACTTCAGGCTTGCGGAAGTTTGATACACACGTTCATGCATACTTGCGCAAATCACTGGTGCATGAAGAAAATTCGTACAAGTCTATGCCACTTGTACAAGTTTGTTCCTACACACGTTCAAAATTCTTATACAAGTACGCTTGCACAAGAACACTTGTCAAGTATGCATGAACGTCTGTAGCCCCCTTAATACTATTGTTGACTTAAGTCTCGATAAAGTTAAGTCCTTCTAGGGTCGAAAAAAAAACATTTGTTCTTATCGTTAAAACTAATGTTTGTTTTTGTTTTTCAGACGCAAATACGATCGAAAAACAATGTAAAGAATCCGACAGAAGCTCGAACATATCCGATTTAAAACTCGATCTGCGAACGGGCTCGTCCAACTCCAACGTGCACTGTGATATGGATTACATTCCTGGAGCCGAATCGGAAACTGGAAGCGAATCCGTTATAACGAGGATAGGAGTGCCATTGGCAGGACCTGTGAGCGTAGCCGGCCAAGAAATCTATAGATATTCCGCGGACTACACTGAACCCAGCTTTCCTCCTAAGGTATAACCTTACTTATGGTTTTCTGTTGTTTCTGTGTTTCGCCCGCAATTGTTATTATTGCGGGACATTACTTTCTTGGTATATTTTGTGACGGTAACAAGAAAATATCTGTAAATATTGTCACTAAATTAACCACCGCAAAAAGATTATTTTTTCTGGTTCGTTTGTCATATGTCAATATTTTTTGTTGCAAAAATACTTTTTAACGGCTCACGTACAAAGCATTTTCAATATAAACCTACATATAACGTACAAAGCATTTTCAATATAAACCTACATATAAAAAAGATGAACCAAGCATGAAATAAGGGTACTATACCGGGTGCATCTTAAAAGTGGCTCACCCCTATAACTTTTTCATTTTTTCAAATAAGAAAACGAGATTTGGTATGGTAGTATATGACATAAATTAGGATTGAATGACGGTATTCAATTGTTTTTAGTTACCTTCCTAAAAACACTAAATCACCACAATACACCAAAACACTTTTACTTTTACACTGGACGCGCGTTTCGCTAACCATGTTAGCATCATCAGCAGATGATTATAAACTAAAGTACAATCTACAAGTTGAGCGTTTATATACTCGCTCAGTGGGCACCGAGTGGGCGTGGCAAAATCTAGCCAACCGAGTCAGAGCCCACTGAGCGTAACAGTTAGATTTCCGCCACTAGAGTAGTAGGAACAAAGAACTTGAAGGAATTGGACCGTTGACTCTGTTCATACTATCTTTACATTTATTAATTCTGATGCTTTCATATGCATGTAATTGCATGTAATTTGAGACTTGTTTAATTAATTTTAAATTATTAAGATCTATACAATGTTCTTTATCAACAATATGTTCGGCAACGCAAGATTTATCCGGTCTACCATATCTTATCTGAGTTAAAGGTTCTTTAAATCTAGTTAATATTGATCTTCTAGTTTGCCCAACATATTTCTGATTAAAATCTTTACAAGAAATTGCATAAATACCCGACCTTTCCAGTGGAGGTGTTTTATCTTTTGGATTACCTAATAATTGTTGTAATTTATTATTAGCACTATACACAAGTTTATAATTGACATTCTTAAAAATTCCTTTTAGACCAATTTTTGCCATTTCAAAAGGTACCAACTCAAAAGTTGTAGTTTGGTAAAACAGGAAGTGACCAAGAACAATTGAATATGTCAATCAATCCTAATTTATGTAGTACCAGTATACTAAGATACCAAATCTCTTTTTTTATATGAAAAAATAAAATAGTTATGGGGGGTGAACCACTTTTGAGACGCACCCGGTATATAAGAACATTGAAATTAAAAAAAAACGCCAATAGTGGGCATTTTTATTATTTTATCAAAAACTGTTCCGTATCTTACCGATATTTTTCAGGAACCGACCAATACCGAATTCCAATGTATAAGAAAAACTCAAGAGATTCTTTTTATAAAGATATTGACAATCAATTAAATTCGACTTTTTTGATTTTTTAACACCTTGTAGATCAAATAGGAAATACTCTAGACCCCATGTTCATATAAAAAAATCTTAAAATCATATGAGGAATCACACCATATATTTTTTTAAACTACCTAAAAAATACCCAGTATAGTAAATTTTAACAGAGGAAGGAAATTTCAGAGAACATTTTTTTTTCTCGTTTAATTTCCTTAAGCGCGTCGCAGATTGACTTATCGCATTAAAACACACCAACTTTTAAGATTTCTTCCACCCCTCGCCTCGTTGTTTACTCAATATTTCAATCTTCGAAAAAATCAAATCCCCTCAATCTTGGCAGGCTTTCGATAGTGAAACCGAAATCGACGGGGATTCGTTTTACTTTCCCCTTTTTTTCTCGATATTTACATAAGACTTGCCGAAGCCGTTTTATTATTTTTATAGACCACAAATTTTGATTTACGCCGAGAATTATGGCGAGCCGATTTTTTAAAGAGAATTTACGAGGGGGAAACTCTAACAGGAGGACTTTGACCCGCGCGTTCCCGGCCGATTATAAATTTATATTTCGCATAACGACTCTACTATATAACGAAGAAACTAAAGTACACGGTATTCCTCGAGTATATTTCCTCTGGGAACGTGTTTCCTTTTTATAATTAATACTACTCGCTTCTTCTCTCATTTTTATGCTATTTCCTTATAAGCTTACTTTACTTGAATTTATATACGTCATATACTCTTAAATGTAAATATATTTATTTGCGGCAGAGAAAAGGCACTATTTTGAGGAACATAATAATTTACAAAAGAAAAAACATTTTTCTGTAAGAAATTAAAGTATTTTAAGTTAATGTGTCCCAGAGAATAGGTACATTAAAGAAATGCTAACTTCATGTTAAAAAATGGAAACAGACGCCACCTGGTGTCGCCTGGCAGTACTAGCTAAATTGAGGGGAATTGGAGGGGCGGGGCTTAAAAGAGGGAAAATTTTTAAAAAAATATTTTTATAAGTATCACTGACTTACTGTTTAAAGTTAATAAACATATTTTTTATTACTTTAATATAATTTAATGTATTAAAAAATATGTCCAATAACTTTACACAGCAAATCAATGATATTATTAAAGACTTATTATTTTCAGAGAAAATTCATAGTAAATAAATTACACATTAGTAAACAATATCATTTATTTTTTAGAGCTGCGATTTATATTACAATAATATTGAAATATATATATTTTTTTAACAATGAAAAAGAATATCCCAGAACCTGAAAAAGAAAGATGATCAATTAATGACTTAAATTAGTTCAAAATACATTTTGCAAATAACTAGTGAATTGGAAAGATAAACATACTATTAAAAAGACATTTTAGTAGTATGTTATCATCTATTTACTGATAATACATAAGTATATAATAGGTAAATAACATGCATAAGGCACTATGATACAACTACCTGTATCATGATAACACACTAATATCACAAAAAATTAATGCTAATTTAAATTCCTTTAATGATCTAATGAAACACTATCAAGCCTCAATGAATGCCATTCCAAAGGCAAAAAAAACTGTTATACCAAATAAATATAAGCTGAATAAAACATAAACCAATCCAACGTGCATAAACAACCAAAAAATGCATCAAAAAATACTTTTATCAGATCATACCCTTGGATATATTATGTATTTTATATATGGCACATCCCGTTCAAAAGTTTACTAACTCAAAATAGAGAATATAGAGAACATTGTCAGGAGAAGTAAAAGAAAATTTAAGTTAAGGCAATATGCTCCTTTTTGCATATTAATGGCCAAATAATATAATGTTGATTTAATAAAATTTTACTGGCATCCTTCTGAGGTATAAATCAGATTAAAAGGACATTGTTTTTGTAATAATTGTTTGTTTTGTAAACATTTTTGAAGACAATACAGTTTTGAACGGGCTGTGCGATATAAACAAGGATCTTACTATTATTTGAGGTTAGAAAGTATTTAAATAATATAAAACATAATCAAAATCATTTTTCATCATAAATTATAGAGGTACTTACGTGTTTTGATATTATTATCAGGAAATAATACGTTTAGTTAAACAGGTACGCTGCCAGGCAAGTTCTATCGGCGGGTCTTTGCAAAAGTTGAAATCTAAAAATACAAAAATACTTTTACATCTTAGTTGTATTTACGAATAAAGTATTTGTGTGTAATTTCTGACTTACCAGTTAACTGAATAATCGCATTAAATACATCCAAATGGTAATTTAATATTGTAAAAAAGCAAAATTGTTTTAAATGACTTGCTAGGACAGCCCGGCCAGCTTCTTTGTTGGCAAAATGGCCGCGGTATCATAATTTAAACAATGTGAGTGACAAAGAAAGCCAATGCCTGGCAGATGTTGCTTTCTTTGTCGTTGGTCCTGGCACATTTAAATTTGACTGTTGCCTGTTTTCCCATACAAGTGACACCCCCGTGATGTGTCCTTTTTGCTGTTAACCTGACCGGGACGTGCTTTGTTTACTTTTATTTCAAATATGAGTTTAAGATACGAGTTATGACTATTGTTAACCTAACCTAACTACCCACTTAGCATTTTTGGACACATTTTAGGCAATGTTTCACATAATCGTGTCTGTTTCTTGACACAAAATGGAAACAGTATGCCACAAAAAAATAAGAAACATTTTCGAAACATATATGTTTTATATAGCTTTATTACATGTTTCCAGTATGGTTGCACTAGCCGTTTCCTAAAATGAGAGTAAATGAGTTTCCTAAAATAGAGGAAATTCTTCGAAACATTTTCTGCAATTTGTGTCCAAGATGTTCCCGTTTTCAGCAGCCACTATTTCGAAATGTGAAGAAACAAAATAAAAAACTAAAATAGTCTGTGTGTGTATTCATGTTGATGGTTGTATTCAAAATGAAAACAACCATCAACAATGTCGACCTCCGCCATAATTTTTTTGTCTTAAGATCTTTGTTTTTAGGTTTTCTCGCACAAAAATGTCTGGCAAAAGCAAATTCATAGTTTAATTTATTAATATACCTTCATATATTTGATGCCCCTTATTATATCATTATTTGTTGGTACAAAATATTTTTGTTTGAATATCAAAATAGCCGTTAAAAACATATTATTTAGTTACATTATATTTTTAGTTAGTAACGTTATCACTAGCCAACATGGCGGTCTTTTAATTAATTATTTTATAAAATTGACATTGGAGTCGGACACAGATCATCTACATTATATCATATCTGTGTCTAAAAGAAGAGAAACTCATGTTTCGAAATTGAATCGACAAAAATGGAAACCTTGCTTCCAAAATATTTCGATTTCGCTATATCTGTGTAGATATTTCGAACTAGTCACCTGTCAACAACACCAATCAAAACTTATGGTCAAAATAATTAAAACACTTTACTTTTAATTTTTTACTTATTAACACAAAAATATATATTCCATTGTGGAAAAAAGAAAAAACGTTTGCTGGTAACATTTTTCTTCAGTCTCCTGTTGGGTACGGGTAGTGACTGTTATTGCATTTATTTCCAAAACAAATTGTCTGTAATGCATAGAATAAATTATTATAAAATTGCATTGCAAACCAAACCAAACCAAAGAAAAAATAATTGTATTTGTACTCACCATAAATATGTCCTTCCTTATGCTTTTTTAATTATAGTACTATAAAAACTTGAAGAATGCAAAAACTGCAGGACAAAATCCAAGCAATAAAGGAAGGTTATGTCCTCATGTTTGACAGAATATCAAATAAATTACGCAAACTTTTCAGGCACAAAACGGGTATCTTTTTAAATGTAAGCCACATCTTTTTTTTAAAAGTTTCGCAAAATTTGCGACACTAAGATCTGTATTGTTATAGCTTATGTAGCGAAACCATATTTTGGTTTCGAAACAAAAAGCGATTTATGTTAAGAATCATATATTATATCAAAAATGTGACAAAATTGTTTCGCAATGTGAGATTTTGTTTCGATTTTGTGTCTAAAAATGCTACTTAGGTAATAAAGTAAATTATGTATGAGATTTGAGATCTTGCTTAGTAGATATGATAAATAGGAATACGGAACAAAAAAAATCTTAAAATGTAGATTAATCTTTTTAAAAAAACGGTTACTCTTTTACTAATACGTGCCCTTCTTTACAACACCCAATTAAAAACGCCCTTTTCAATTTCAGGACGGTCAAAACAACAACGGCTACGTTCCGTACGTAGACTACTCGAGAGACTACAATCCGCCGGTCATGCAGCCACCCATATCCACGTCGTTGGGCAGCGAAAGTCTCCAATCCACCCGTCTCCAACTCAACTCCCTCCAAAACCACCAAATCGGCGGCAACGGCGCCAACACGTTGCCCCTCAACGATCTATCGGACCTACACATGGCGCAGTCCAACGGATCCATCCCCGGGATCGATCCTAGGTTCAGCGCTACGTACGGCAATCCCTACCTGCGTAATCCCAGCGTGGGGCTTCCTACGCCCAACACGGCGAACCCGGTGGCCACGCCAGCGCCGCCGCCTTATAGTCGCGAGAATTCGCGTTTGGCGATATCCAGTAGTGGCATGATAACGGCCAGCGCGAACCCCGTAAACACTGTGGTGGCGAACGGTGCCAACGGTGGCGTGCCTCAAGTAACGAGACTGCCCAGTTCGCCCACCAGTCAATACATAGTACCTAGTTCGACGATAAAACGCGGAACTTTGGCCACGCACGTGTAATATTTAGTGTAAAAAGACCTAAGGATGAACAATAGAGACGTAGTTACTACCAATAACACAGCCGAAAGGTTTCGGTGCTTGGAATTTTTAATGTTTGTAAATGTTCTTAGATAATGTTAGACCGCTGAATTCAAATAATCTATCAAATATACTTTCACAGCTGCACCATGTTTTCTGTATTATTTCTTGAACTAAATGTTTTTAGATGACTACTCTGATCTTATTCAGAATAAATAATATCTAAGACATTAAAATAAGTCATTTTTCGGCCATATTTTATTATGCGAAAGAATCAACTTATAAGCCAAACAAAAAATCGCCATTACACAAAAACTATAAAAAAATAACATATTATATATTTAAAGTAAAGTTCTCTGTATTTAAGATCCTTGAGCATCAATTTTACATAAAAGTAATACCGTATGATCGAAAAAAAACGGCGTCCAGTTGGCTGGGAAATGAACATCGATGAAATTTCCTATATAAATTTACATATAAAATGACAGCGATCTTCATTCCATAGCCATCGCTGACGCCGTTTTTTCTCGATCATACGGTATTTAGACAATTATAAGTTTCTATGACGATATTACAAAAAATTTGCATCACGAAATTTGGATCAACCTTGAATATTATTTAAGTTAGTTTAAAATTTTTCCCAGAAAAATCTTTATAGATTCTACATACAAAATACGTATACCGATTTAGTCATTTTAGAAGTGTGGCCTGGATTTTAATGTATAAGACAGTAATGTAGGCAGCTTAATGGAAAATCTAATGTATTAAAAAGAGATGAAAGTTGGGTTGATACATTTCTTCTATTGCCGGATTTTGCAACAAAAGTTCAAACCGCACAAGTAGGTGTTTATGGAAAATGTTGCATCTATGTGTTAGAACCTTATTTTTCACAATTAGTTACTCAGATATATTATCTTCATTTCAGTAGGTAGTATACATGAAAGTTTTTAAAATAGATTATTTTTTTCTACACAAATTTTCCTACAAACGTAAAAACCGGCAACACTGTATGCCTCTTTTGATTTTGTCTCTGTCTGTCAACCGGTCATTTATATTATTATTCTCTGTCTTATACTTTAAAATACAGACCACACTTCTAAAACGACCAAATCGGTACATATTACATTTATGTATAAGAACAATAATGTATAGATAATGAATGAATTTATTTATTACATAGTTTCTTAATTACAAACCTTCAAAATTTTCACTTTTTCTTATGTTATTTTCACTACCATTCCTGGACTAGAAAGGCCTAAATTCGTTCTGAATTTTTTACAATAGACTAAATTAAACATTTTACGTTGTTCTAAAAAATATGTTGTATCTCTAAAAATATAGCTGATGAGAACCAAATTGTTTGAATATGTCAGCGCTCTAAATATAATCAAAACCAGTTTTAATATTTCAGGTGCCAAGCATATCGGGCTGTGTTATATTAGAGACATTATCGGTAATGTGAATGCCAAATTGACGCTATTGGCCGATGTAAAATAATGGAAAAGGTGATGATTTTTTAACGAGTAGAATATGTAGAAGAAAATATGAACAAGACTGAAACCTCAATCGAAATAATTAATAAAATGTTTTAAACAAATACTGTTTTGTTATAACTTTACAAAATCATGTAGATCAAAATATTTACGTACGAGTAGACACTATCACTAAAAACTTCTGTTTTGTTTTCATAATTTTTAAGGATGTGAGACACACTTCATTGTTTTTAAGATTACGACATATTTTTAGCGACTCAAGTCTCTTTCTATAAATAAATATATCTTACAATATTCATTACAATATTCATTTATTATTATTCTCATATCAAAAAATATTTGTGTAAATTATTTTTTTATGATAATATAATGTTTCAATAGGATTAATTCAAATACGGCAATCAATAATATTCCTAGCAGTCCTGAACTATTGGAGACTGCTCATTCAAACCCGAATTTTATCAAATTAAATTTTTTTTGTGTTTCAGAATTATCCCCCTTCATGAAATAATGAAAGTTTTAGTGATTGCTGTCTACCTGTTATAATTAAATTTGAATTGTACAGTTGAGAAAAATATAGATTTTTGGCAACTGTACGTTTTTTCTTAACTAATCAATATTTTTCTAGAAATATATGTAACTTCTGATAGAAGCTCCCAAACTTTATAAATAATTGTAATTTTTCAAATACACAATTATAATAATTGCCGAATTATGTGATTAAATTTTAATCAAACCTATATGAATTGTTTTATAGAAATATTGTGGCTGTATACTTTTTCAAAAACTTAATTAATTTTGAACTAATGCTAAATTAGATTTCTTTCTTTAAAAAGACAAATTAGAACTTTCGAGAGGATCTCCTTCCATAATTTAGTTTGTGCCATATCAATTAAACCAAAAAAGTGTACAGCCATGAAATAGTAACATCTTGCTGTAAATAAGTACATATCATGAGAGTCGGAACTTCCTTCGCCGATATCATGTCAATTTTTCATCAATAAATAATTTTAGGAAAGTATAAGTTTTATAGAAAAAAACTATGTTTTTTAAATTTCGCTAGAGAGCTTCCAACATAGTCAATTTTTTGGTCAATTTGTTGAACTACTTTAGTTGACATATCTATTCGGACAGAATAATCGATATCTTTCGATAATTTTGTAGATAGGTGTAAAAGAAATTGTATATTTTTCAAATATCTCTATTATCTCACGGCTCGTGTTAGTTTAACATCATATACATATTTCATTCCATCCTTAAAAGTTTCCTATTGAGCCTAAAATTATACATAAAATTTATTTTATGTCTCAAAGTGTATGTTATATCAAAAAAATCAAGGGATACGTTGGAATTGGCTAACGTGCGATAAATTTAAACAAATTTCTTTATTATATATAGATACATACCTATTATATTAAAAAATATTTTTAAAGTTAGGTTCAAAACTTCTCATATTTAATAAGTTTCTTTATAAGCAAGACTTACGATATTGCTAACGTAACAACAATCATGCTTAGTAAATGTTATTTTTATGAAATTGTTAAAATTTTAAAAATGTTCTTGTTATTAATATGAAATATATACCAAAGATATTTTTTGTATATTAAAAAACGTAAGGAAATGTATATTTTTTATCCATTAATTTTTTCAAATCAACGATTCTTAGGACAGCGTGTATAGGTACTCTCACAAATATCACTTTTTATTTTTACCATTTATTTTTTGTATACAAAATAGCTCATTAATCTGATTCTGCTTGATCAATATATTGAAACTCTAAAACTCCTTTTGAATAAAAGTAAAATACATAGTTGGTTGTGTAGCGTGCGGTAAATCTCAATCAAGTAGTGAAAAATTCAGGGAAATAATTCTTTTCACTAAGTTACCCCATTTTCCCTAAGTGACTATATACATATATGATTAACTAATTTTTTTTGTAGTTTTGCTTTTATTTACTACTTGTCAAAGGTTATAGATGTGGAAGAATATATAGATACGTCAATTTTACCTGCTTCAATAGCGTATAGAATGTTTGTGTTGATAAATAATTATTATAACTTATCTATTTTTATTAGAATGATATATTTTTATAACAATTTTAAAAATTACCAACATTTATTGACAACGGAAAATAAAACAACAAATTATTGAATATTTTTTACACGTCTTGAATAAAATTAGGACGGCACTGCTAAACCGGAATTCAAGTTGGCCATTTTTAGTTCCCATCACGCTCGACCGAAGTTTTTCTATATCCTTTTTACCTTCCTTAACCTTAAAAAAGCAACAAAAATGTTAGACAATATACCCTAGAAAATTTCAATATCTAATACTAACGCCAAAATTGAATATGCTAGAAATGTCAGAAAGTGATATTTTTCCGAGAGTATCTATGCCTATTACTGTCGCCTGGCCTAGAAAAGATCTATTCTAACTTTTATACAATAACTTGATTTAATTGTTTTGTACTTAAGCACAAAGTTTCGCCATACTTGCTCATTATAATTATTCATTTATGTATGTAATTATTTTGTATATTGATGTACGTATATATTGTTTTAGTCATGTATAGTTTTATTTTTATGTGTATCTTTGCTTCGAGCGACTTTTAGTTAGGGGTTTAATTTTATATATTTCCGAAAATCCTAACAAGACTTTTATAAACTATTTTAGTGTTTTACTATTTAAAATAGTAGAATAATTTAGCTCAAATTTAAATAAAGTGTATATATGAACATATCCTGCGAGTTTTCTAAAATAGACTACTGTTACTATATTGTGTATAAGATTTTTTTAAGTCTTGGAAATAGCAATATTTAATAAAAAAAACTTTGTGATTGTAAAATAAAGAGCCTACTTCAATAAATACTCGTTTTGTTGTATCATACCGTCCCAAACATCACATAACACCTTGTAGATATTATTACTGAAACTATTTGCAGCTATTATTTTACTGTGACCAAAATAAAATAAATAAAAGAGTTGTTGAAAAAGTAACTACCCGTTACTCATCGATAACCGAAATAATAAGTAAAGAATTTAAAACAAGATTTTGATGATTACTATTACTTTGATTACTATTACTACTTATATTATTATTATTTGAAGGGTCCAGGGGAAAACATGATAAGCACCATTTTACTAATTTTACAGGAGAACCTTGGACGCATATTCGTATGTTGCACACAGATTGTCCATTCGGAATTAGTCGGGTCTGCTGCGATTCGGTGCACATTGGGCCAGAAACAACTTAAAATGTGGAATAATTCAAAAAAATAAAATTCAGAAAATCCATTTATTTTTAATTAATAATAGTTAAGAAAACTCTAGAGAATCATCAAATAATAAAATAACTGACATAGGTTACCATGGTACGTGTATGTGCACTGAAAACGTTGAAACGTGGTTTATTTTATTCCGCGTATGTAAAGATTTTGTTTACAAAGTACAAAGTGATTCCAAATACTTCAGAAGTTTGTGACAGGTTTACAACGGGTGATACAAGTACTATTAAGTTTATTTTATTTATTTGTACTTAATTTTAAACAATATGTAACATTATGATCACGGTTTAATGTAAAAAACCTTTCATTATAATATACTGATTGTTTTTCTTTTTTCAAAATATAGAAAAATAAGTGGGTTCTCCTCAAACGCCAGGTGTCTGGGTTATGTTTTTATTTCCTCAAATAGTCTAGTTTTCAAAATTAAATAGAGTTACTGCGACTTTTTGCGACTTCGTAAGATATGAACAATTATGTACATCAATACTATACAAAACACTGTTTATATTAGCTGTAACTGGGAATAATTTCCATCCCCATTTTTTTTATCTATACTATTTTGGAGTGAATTAAACTTAAGAAATCGATAGAACATCAAAAATAATGAAAAAAGTTCTTATAAACATGGAAATGCTTGCATATACTTTTCGAGATTCAGGGTGCCAAAATTTTATTTTTACTTTCGTTTTCTTCGTCTAATTTCCTACATAATTTCGATATTTACATGAAAATTGGTATCTAGGAGTTTTTTTGACGTATAACATGCATCGATTATTTCAAATCCAAATAGAAATATTATACAAGGTCTTACAAAAAAGTCACGAAACTTTAAACGAATGAAAATATATGTAGGTGGTGTTCCCCTCAAGTAAGAGTAAAATTAGGATAAAATTTAAATTTCTTATGTCAAAAAACCTCTAGATGCCAATTTTCATCTAAATATTGAAATTATATATAAAATTAGGCGAAAAAAAATAAAATAAAAATACAACTTTGACACCCTGTATCTCGAAAACTATGCATTTCCGGACACATGTTTAGAGAAACTTTTTTCATTATTTTTGATGTTCTATTTATTCCTTAAGTTTGAATTGCCAAGTCTAAAACACCCTGTATATCGATTAATCTTTAGTCTGCTCTATATAAAATGTTTAATTTAAGTGTTATTAATAAAAAACTAACGATTTAAAAAAATATATTTGTTCATTTAATACGTAATTTTAGCCTAAAAAGTTCATCAGAAATGATACAAAAGTTTTTCAATATTATTGGTTCATTAGGGCCCACTGTGCGGCGGTATGTAAGTTATACTCGGGAGAGCACTTTCTTGGATAAAGCGAGTGCAACATACAGAGTAGATATATATTAAAAAGGAAATTTACTTTAATGGACTTATTTAATAATTTTTAATGCAGAAAAAGTCGTCTTTTTTTACACCCTGTATAAGGCACGGCACTTTTAATTGTAGAAAAATTACCTAATACGTAGATAAGTACATTTTAGTGTATTGTAGAAAAATTACCTATTAGATAAGTACATTTAGAGTAGATTTCCATTCTAATAGTAAAAATCTAAAAACCTACAGCAAATATGTTTTTAAAAGATTGTGATTTTAATAGATTTTTGATAACTTGTTCTTTTGATTGATTGTGTTGTTTTCATCTGCAATAATATGTGTAAAATTTTTCTGGAATAATTAAAAATATTTTTCCACGACCGTGCGTAAAGTACTCACTTTACGAAAGCTAAGCGGTGCGTAATTTTTTTTTTTGCACTTGTGGGTATAGTAAACGCCACGATATGTTTGAGAGTGATTCATCGCTTGATGAAGTTAGAATCGACACGCGCGCTATCATTTTTACATTAAAAACGTAAATTTTTACCGCAGACGTAGGTTTTTAAAGGCCCAGTCTAATCATCTGCCTGCGTTCCCCGTACGTGTGATTGACAAAGACGATACTATATCGCGTTTCTTTGATTGATTCGTTTTTGTGCGTCAGTCCATTGGTGTGCTTGCAGTGCGAACAAGTTCCAGTTTATATTTATAACCAAATATATGTTTTGACAAGACTTTGATAGTTAAAACAACAAATTACAACAGATTATATATTGATTATTATATGACTTGAAACACCACGACACTGGAATTAAGTTTTATGTGACCTTGAACAGATTAGTTCACATGGTAGCGACCGATGAATCACTCCCAAACATTCGTGGCGTTTACTATAAAGAAAATTAGGTACTGTCCGCATTATTGCATTAAGTAACTATCTGTCAACATGTCAAATCACCTATCAAATTTTACTTTACACACTGGTGTGTACATTATATTGTTTATATTTCCATATATTGTAAATTTCTCGGTGATTGTATGCAACTTGTGCTTAATGTGCGTTTTTTCACGCATTTCTGAAAACAAATCTTACTTTAAAAGAACTATTTCATATCAAAAATGCACGACAATTTTATATTTTGAGATAAATTTGGTTAGTAATTAACAAAACGTTTGATATACCTAATCTTTCTTTTAGCTAAATATTTTTAGTTCTCTTCGATATATAAACTAGTTTGTAAACATTTGTAGTTTGTTTTTAGTGAAACGCTTACAATAATTTTAAAGAATTACGTGCTATGGTTCTTTAAATAATAAAAAAAATAAACTTAAACCTCTACTTCTGCCTGACTTTTTTTCACCAACAACTTCAACTACTTCAAATAATAAAGGCATTTTGAAAAAGCATTTAAAAGATAAAAAACGCTGCTAAGACTATCAAAATGTTGATCTAATAACAATTTGACGTTTATACTATTACGCGAAAAGCAACTTTTTGCCAAAGCCTACCATAACTTCACTGAATTATCGTTTCTTGTTCACTATTATTAATATCTTATTTATTAATTATTAGATATTAATACATCTGGTATTATGCTATTCTGGTATTTCGTCGATTTTAAAATAAACTAACTGTTTTTATCTTATTTTTTTGTTAGAATGGGCCTAATCAAGAGGGCTTCTGATACTGTATTGTAAAAATAAGGTAATTAAGGGCTTATTTTTTGGTATTTATTATAATTTTGCTAATATCTTCGGTTTGAAAGAAGATATCAAGATGCGGTTTTCGCTGACTTTTTAAGCTTTTACTACTCTTTACTATCAGCTAAAATAACACATACTATCGTATTCAATTTTTTTGAAAAAACGCGCTGTTTGTTAAATTGTAAGAAAGCGCCCCCTAGCGTCTACGTTCAAAACCTTATTATTATTATTTTTATGGTATAATATAGAGTAAGAAACGCTCTTGTAAACGAGCCTCGTAAAATCCAAAATTTACTGAAGATTATGAAGCTATTATTTATAGTACCCATTATCTGGACAAAATTCTGTAAAAAATCCATTTTCTTATTTTCCATAGCAGTTGCGCCACCTAGCGGCCGTTTTACAAACTTGAAAATAATTTCCAGCAATTTCTCATAGCCCCTTTAGTTAAATATTTTTTTCCGTAAGCCCTACGGCTAATACTTTCCAAGATACAGCCGAAAGCTATTCTTAGTGGGACACCCGGTACATACAGCGCCATACAAACATATGGCAGTATCCAAGTGTATTTAATCCAAGTACACAAAAGTGTACACAAACACCTTGTCACCTTGTCAACATAGTTTAAAATCCTTGCAAATCTATCTCACTCACATAATTATGTTTTTCAAAAGTTTCGCAAAATGTTCTTATTATAATATACTTATCTGGATGATTATAAAAAAGTATATTCTTTCCGTCGCCAATTTGTAGCAATACAAGTAGATATTTTATTTTGATTTATGCCCATCTTATTTCCCCATTTATACAACTTGCTGAATAAATATCTTCCCACAATTTTTGAGACAATACAAATGACTTTTAAAAATATAAATATTTTATTATATTAATATAAACATATGACAGTATTAGATTTATAAAAAAAGTTTACATAATTATTACATATTTCAAAATAAAATATTGTCGTTACTACCTCCTAGTTACGATTTGATTTTTATGTCGGTAATTCTAGTCAATATTGCAGCTCTTATATCTGTATTTTGAAAAAGAGATTTTATGAGTTTTTTTAACTCTGCGGCCTCAAACTGCATCGCGAGTGGTCCTTTTCCATCAGCCCATCTATCACTAATTTCCACTAAACTGGCATTTAAAACAAAACTAACCTCATTAAGTTTGTACCATAGTGGTACAAACAGGGTAATTTCCCGCGGATTTGTAAACAACTTTGGAGCTCTGGTAAGCACTAATTTAATTATGTCTACCAACTCTTCAGCAACAGTAGCAGGAATATCCTCAAATTTAATAATAGAATTTATAATATTTTTGCATAAACTATCTACAATGGACCCGATATGTTTGTTGTAAATATTATATGACAATACTTTGTGCCAAACTGTTTTAAGTAATTCTTGTTGTCTCAAACATTGCCGGACACATTTCTCTGTTTTTGGATCAACTTTCTCAATTGTAGATCCATCTAATTGAGCGCCAGACATTATTTCATCGATTAGTTTGATTTGCCCATCAATATAGTTACTAAATATTTCAACAGCAATTATTGGCAGTTGGGTTGCTTCGCTATTAAAATCGCAAGTAATTAACAGATTAACCAATTTAGAACAATAAACCGTGTTCCATTCTCTTAAAGTATGAGAAATAAAATTACAATTGTTATAAAAGAGAGCAATTTGTTGCGGCAAAGTTGCCAAGTAATGTTTATGGTAATCGGAAACAAATATAGGATATTTTATAATGATATTTGATACGGTAACAAACAGTCGTCCACTACAATCAGGTGCGGCATTTAATGCTTCTCGAAGAATATTTTCACATAGTTTTAATAATTCTTGAACATTCTTTGATATGGAACATTGAGGAAAATCTTGAAGATGATGTCCTGTAAGAGAATAGGTTTCAATTAGATAAATACCATAAGACCGAAAATAACTGCGTCAAAGACGACTGGGGAATGACCAAAGATATTTAAACTCAAGAGATACAATTGTTTACCTTTTTCCTTCATCGGTCATTATTCTATCCTTATTTTCGCATCTCTCTTACACCGAAAACATTTGCCAGATTTACCTGTATATTGGTATTAGTATTCGATTAAATACCACAACCAATTATTAAGTAATAAATAATTTCGTTATATTTCTATAATATATTAAGTACATTAATTTGCTAACGTCAATTTTTTCATTTAATGCTTAACTGCTTAACTATTTTAAATTTTATAATGGAATAAAAATACCATGATCGTGTTTCTTTTAATAATAAAAAGCAGTTTGGCAACGTCAGTTTTAGAAATATGCCGGCGTAGTACAACGGATTTCGAGGATGAATGAAAGTTCCTATTGCCGTACCTATAGTCCGATCTAAATCTCAGACTTGAGTCGATCTTTGCTAAGCCATACTCAAGACCGGAGATTCCATCTCTATGTATGCGCAGTCTGCCGCTTTCTTGATCAAGTCTCCTCTATAGTACGCATCTTTCATCTAAAGTTGTGCTGAAGCCTGAGATCGACTCAAGTACCGACTATAGGTACGGCAACTAGATTCTCCTGTTGCGATGTTGCTATGCCGCCGATCAAGCTCCGTATTCTTTATTTGCAGTATTATAGTATTTTTGCGTTATTTTGTGAACTTCTGTGGACATTAATTTGAAAATATGGTGCATTCATGTATTGTGTACAAGAGAGTGTATCATTTAAATCCAAATTTAACATTTCACCGGTAAATAAAAATAAGTAGGGTTGGGTATATTATTATATCCTCTTCTCTGTAGATCAGAGGCGGACCTAGACATAAAAAATAGCAGATTTCTAAATTATATTTATCCAAATGATTGCTTACAAAATTAATACATACCTACAAAACCATGATACAAAGAATACAAGGTATGATATTGCGCAGGTTGGTCACTACGTCACAGGTGATAAACGGCACCATTGGTCGGCAAGCTCCGCACGCCAATTTCAAATTGTCAAACAGATGACACAATAAACGCAAAAATAATTTTTCAAATGACAAGCTCGATAATTTGACATAACTTTTGGGGTTATGTCCTAATTCTTCCCTATTTTAGGTCTTTTTTTTATTAGTGGCAATTGAACAATATGGATATTTTTTTGTATGGCGTATGACTTCACAGGTGGTATGCGCAAACTTAACGAAATTGGAGCCGCTATCGATCATACCTTGTTTTCTTTGTACCATGCTACAAAACAGTATACCTGGTGAGTCTCAAAAGTGGCTCACCCCTATAACTTTTTGGTAATGGTGTGGATCCGGTGGCTGACCTTGAAACGAGTTTTTGCTGCATATAGTCACAGACACTACGCATGCGCACATCTTCGATGTTGCCAGATTGTGAGTTATTTTGGAATTATTTTTAGTAGAAAACAAATATGTGCTTTTCAGTGTTTTTTTGTCAATATATACCGTATGATCGAAAAAACGGCGTCCAGTTGTCTGGGAAATGACGATTGAGGACATTTCCATAAAATGACAGCGATCTTCATTTCATAGTCATTGCTGACGCTATTTTTTTTTTCAATCATAGTACGCGGTATATTATTTTAATATTTCGCACAACACGTGAACGCTTATTATGTATTTTCAGTCAATAAAATTATATAGAAATAAAACTCTAGATTCCTATCTAGATTATTATGCTACGTTTAAAAAGTGCTTTATTAAAAATTCGGGAAATTAAAAGAGATGTGTCCAAATTTTTTCTTTTTTTTTAATTTTTAAATGCTGTAGCTCGAAAATAAACTGCAATTTGGCAACATCGACGATGTGCGCTTGCGTAGTATCGATGATCAAATGCAGCAAATATGGGCTTCAAGGTCAGCCACCGGATCCACACTTTTACCAACTTTTTTTATTTTTTCAGTTAAAAAAAACGAGATTTGGTATGTTAGTATATGACATAAATTAGGATCGATTGACGTATTCAGTTGTTTTCTGTCACTTCCTCTTTCACCGGAAATGACTACAACTATTGATTTTTATATGGCACCCTCCGTATTTTTTTAGTTTATTCGATAGAAAATAACACTCTGAATAGAATGACATATCATATGTCAACTTTTGATATTTTCGCATATGGTTTATTTGAAATTATAACTTGCGGTTCGTAACGAAAATTTGACTTGAAATACCAAGTGTGTGGTATCAAATTATTCGTAAAAAAAATCTTTTTCCAAATATGCTAATGAGCTCATTCCATTTGAAAAAATGCAGATATGATTAAAAATACGATTTGAGCATTTTCTAACTGGTCAGGACAAGACACTAAAAACATTAGACGATCAAATCTATTTTTCCAAGGTTCCTTGATTAAGAATTACTGTTTTTAACATAGCCATGGCACTCTAGATTGAATTTTAAAATTCGATTTTTTATTAAGCGAGAATGTCATCAGACTAAACTTAACAAACTTACCTAATGGAGAATTAGGGTCATAAGGCACACCTACTTCTACCATATCATGAAGGTCTTTTTTCATAATTTCAGTAGCTTTTTGTAAATACTCTTCACATTTCTTGTTAATAAATAATACATCAATATTGCTGGCATATTCCAAGATTGATGATGTATCTTTATCAAATATCTTTGTATCTATAACAAATGTTTTATATTAACAAAATCAGCTAAATTTCTACTATACACATTACCCAGCAAAACATCCTCAAGCTGATGAGTATCTTCAATAACAATTTTATATTTCTCGAGCTCCTCAACATTTGAAGGTATTGTATCTCTAAGGCAATTCTTTATAATCAGTTCAGATAAATTATGCCTTATATCATTTCCAATATAGCTTAAAGACGTCAAATTATCGCCAACTTCATAATTAAAATTTTTGAAAAGGAACTGAAATACCGTTTTTAAATTTTTAAATACTTTTTTATAATGTGATTTCTTTTCTGCATCTTGCACTTTAAGTGTCAACCATACAAATGAAGAATCTTTAGATTCAGTTAATGTGATTTGACTGTTAACAACTGGAACCAACACTGCATTCCATAGTTGTTTAATCACATAATTTAAGTGTTCAATGTGCTCAGTAAATTCATACAAGGCTTTCATAGCACTGCTGATAGTGTCGTTTTGTTTCTTTATTTTCAAAACTACTGTTTGATCCTGGTTTTCCTGTACTTCAATATTATCTGTAAAGACATTTTTAAGACCATTTAGAAACCTAAAAATATAACCTATAAATATCTATCTCACACAATAATTAAACATAAGTAATGTTGTAATAGAGAGAATGTTCCCATTGTTGTCAAGGGAAAGTTCACTAATATTTGCAAATGTGCAGGATCATGGTACAGCAACATTTCCTTGTATTAACATGTATGAGCACAGATAAGCATGTATAAGCACAAATGAGAATATTCCCTTATATGAGCATGTATGAGCATTTTTTTAAAAAAATGTATGAGCATAAACAAGCATATCTAAGAAAAAATTGTCAATAAACTTTTTCCGAAGTACCTAGTTCTTTATTTTCAAGTCTAAATAGCATAAGTTTTTACAACAATACTATTTTCTCTGCAGTATTTATAATAGGTACATAATATCATTTAGCAAACAGTAACGCAACTATGCTGGGAAAGTAAGTCCATAAAGATTATATCCTGAAGGGGAAAAAACTGACAATGTCTGTTTTATGGAATTTTTAAGTAATCAACTTAATTTGTTGAGAGTACCAAGTTCCAAACACGTCTTAAATTGTAACTGAAAATAACAAACAATCTCCAAATAATAATGCATACAGTAATAAATATTGGTATCTTTAACATGGTATTTGACAATATTAAATCATCTGTTTCTCCGTAAGTCAGTTTTGTGACATTGTCATTTTTTCCCTTACCCTTCATGTGTTCTGAATACCTATTTGTATTCTCTTTTTTGTTGACTTATTTTCTCTGTGATAATCAAAGGTGATAATTATAAATAGTCGACAATTGCTTGATTATTCTCATTGATTCTTGGGAACACTCTCCAAAAATAAATTTACAAGCATTGTACAACACACTAAGCATAAGTTTTTAAAATATTGTGTTTACCATTGTTCTTTCTCTTTATAAGTTTGCCTCAAAACATTTATGACATCTAAGCTTTCATCAGGTGGAATTTCATATAAAATACTCTTCAACTTCGTTAGAACTTTTACACATTTAGTAAAATTTTTACTATCAAATTCTGAATTAAATTCTTGGATCAAATTCAAAATAACTTGTAAGTTTTCTATTACTTTTAAAGAGAATTCAATACTTTCGAGTTCTTCAACATTCTTATATAGTTCTGTATTTGTTTTTTCCAGATCCTTTGATACATAATCAGCTTTTTCCCTTAATACACTTAAATTTTGTTGGGCCTGTATAACCTTTTGTAATAAAGCATCATTGGATCTAGACTTCTTGCTATACTTCGTATATACGTTTTCAACAGCGGTCACTACCTCATTTCGAAAAGAATCCAGAGTTTGTTTAAGTTCTGGAACTTTTTTATTGATATAATCTGCATCAACTGCCTTTGCAGATTCCAACACTTGTGCCAGTATACTCATCTTTTTTATAATAAAATATATTTTAGCCAAAAATACGGAGCGGTTAAAAAAAGTCTTCAATCGCACTACAGATAGTAATTACTGGTAATTAGAAATTTTGTTTAATTATTTACAGTTTAAACGTAATTCTTTTCAAAACATTCAAAATTTAAAAAAGAATGTCCAAAGAAAAAATGTCATTTTAAACATCCACAGAACGTTCCTTTAAACTATATCCAACTATATCCATAGATGTGATATGGCATGCTGTAAACAGTTATTCTATCTATGGCTGTAAATCAGGGTTCGGAAGTAGTTAATTAAGAAGTAATTTACCTGATTAACTACGTGTAGTTTATGTTCAAAAACTACGTCTTTTCCCGTTCATTAACTACATGAAAACTACGTTAATAAACTACCTATTAATATTATGAATAATTTGGCTTTGTATGAGGAGTATAAATAATATGATGTGAATGGTTATATTTAAAGCCATATTTCTTCTGTTTTCATAAATACATTATATGTTTTCTAAAGCTTCAACTTATTATAACCTCACCTCAAACCTTCGACAATTGAAAGTTACATACATATGTTATATAAACTACACCCTCTACATAAACTACATTAACTACATATAATGTAGTTTATGTAGTTTTTAAAAGTAACATGTAGTTTTCCGAACCCTGCTGTAAATGTATGTTCGACGCAGTTCAACGCAAGGATACTAGAGTGTTCGACGCAGGTTCGACCCGAGGTGTTAGCACTTGTGGTTCTGGTCAGCACAGAACAGATACAAATGTGTTAGGTTGTAGACAGGGTTCGGAAGTAGTTAACTAAGACGTAATTTACCTGATTAACTACGTGTAGTTTTTCTTCAAAAACTACGTCTTTTCCCGTTCATTAACTACATGAAAACTACGTTAATAAACTATGTATTGATATTATGAATATTTTTCCTTTGTATGAGGTGTAATAGAGATAATATGATGTAAATATTACATTTAAAGCCATATTTCTCCTGTTTTCTTAAATATATTATGGTGTTTTTAAAGCTTCAACTTATTATAACCTCACCTCAGGGTGCAGCCACACTATCCTAAAAACGGCGTATCGGCGTAACGGGCGTAATGACCTTGAATGGATTTCCAGTAATTCTATTGGCTGAAACATTCATCTGTCAGAAATTTTATCTGTCAAATTCATCTGTCAAAAATTTTAGCCAATAGAATTACTGGAAATCGATTCAAGGTCGTTACGCCGTTACGCCGATACGCCGTTTTTAGGATAATGTGGCTGCACCCTCAAACCTTTGACATTTGAAAGTTACATACATAGGTTACATAAACTACACCCTCTACATAAACTACATTAACTACATGTTATGTAGTTTATGTAGTTTTTAAAAGTAACATGTAGTTTTCCGAACCCTGGTTGTAGACGCCATTATTTGGAAGTAACTAAGTCATCACCGACAATTTTAGCGATTTTTGGTAGTTTGTATGTTGTATGTAGTGAACTTTGTATAAACTTGAACTTGAAGTGCACTTATTTGTATAAACTGGGCTCTTTTTTTTTGGATTTGGTAAAGGTGTGGGTGGATCCGGTGGCTGATGTTGAAGCCCGTATTTACTACACTTGATCAAAGACTTGATCACAGATACATTGGGTTTGGAAAACTACATATTACTCTTAAAAACTACATAAACTACGTTACATGTAGTTAATGGATGTAGATAGTGTAGTCACTGCCCTGCCCACTCTAAAAGAACTTCTATATCTCTGAAAAGAACAGACTTTTGTCTACTTTTATTTTCCAGCTGTTCATCATTAGATATTAGATATTCGGTCAGATTTTGTATTCACATTTTGCCGGTTGATTTTCGGCATTATTTATTATTGCTTTTGATTATTGCAGTGCTTTTTTTTCTTTCCATTTAAATTTAAAAAAAAAACGTAAAAAACGCGCCAAATTTAGGTTTGCATTGGCAACGTTGCTCGTTGCTTAAATGTCAGAGACACATAACCCAATATTTTCAGATTGTCTGAGATTGTTTACAAATTTATTTTATTAATTATTATTTTAATAATATTGGTTAAAAAAGTAACAAAAAATAGGAAAAACCTGATTGTATATTGAATACCTAACAAAATATTTGCTAGAAAACCTTAAAAGTATGAGAAATTAAGAAAAATTCAATGTGGAAATAATTTTTCGTTCTTCCGAAAAACGGTAAGAGACCGCCAGAAAAAAGTTCTAATTCGTAATCTACGACCTCAAAATAGGGTGGACACCAATTTTTGTGCAAATTGGACGATTTTCAGTTTTTCCAATCATTTTTACCGTCTAAAAGGGTACTGGGTACAAGTTATAAAACAAGGCAATTCTGTTGAAAATATATTGATAATAAATTCTCCACCCCTATTTTTTGTGTTGATGGTTTAGCTTCGATAGGTTCAAACACGTAAGTAGATATTATGATCTAAGGAAAAATAAAGAATATGTTGTTAAAGATCATGGAAAAGATTATTATTTTGAATTCAAAATTAAAAAAGATTATTGTTAAGGCAAAAATGATATTATAAATTATAATGTATGTAAAGCATAACATATTATTTATAGGTATAATAATTTCTGATGAATAGTTGATTATTTATAATACCAAACCAATATCAAATATTTAAGTGATGGCTGAATACAATATTACTAAAATAACAATAAAATTGGTATAATTGCAATACTAAATTAAGTTTTAAGGATAAAGGTTGATAAGGATGTGTTGTACTAAAAATAATCAGAAATTTGTATTTCTTTGTTTTAATCTGCCTAATGTTATTTACATTTTATGTAAAAATTACACTGTATTACAGTTCAGGATTGGTTAGGTTAGGTTAGGTTAAACCAAACCTTTGGTGTTACAACAGCAAAATAAACATTAATTCACCACAATACACTATATTGTAGGATCGAAAAGAAACGGCGTCCAGTTGGCTTGGAAATGAACATCGATGACATTCCCAATCCCAATATAATTTAACAATCTCTAATAATTTATCAAATGATAGCGTTCTTCATTTCATAGCCATCGCTGACGCTGTTTTTTTTCTATGATATTGTATTATTTGCAAATATAATTTTTCAAACATTGATATTTGCCTCGATATTTGCAAAATATACATATAAATTTTGCGAATGCAAAATAATACATCACCATGTTTTTTGTTAAATTAGATCATTATCTTATAATAATGAATAGGTACATTCATTATTTGTATATTGTAAAACAATTTCTAAATTTTTATGGTTCATAGTTTATTTGCCAAAGTCTTTATTACTATAAATAAGTATATATATTATACAGGGTGTTTCAAAAAACATGTGCCATCTCTCGTGAGGAGATTCCTCGCGTAAAAATAAAATTTCTTTTTCATATCAACATGGTCCGATTTTGCTTGTTTTGTAGCTACAGGGTGTTAAAGTCTTAATATTCTTTCGATTTATTATAATTTTCTTCCAAGTACTTTTAGTGATTTGAATGAAATTTTGGGGGTAAAAGTTATTATAAGTGTTACATATTTTAATGCTAAAAAAGTGTCATTAAATTCGTCAGGGACGTGCATATGGGTTAGCATTAGAATATTTGTCGTTAAAAAACGTGCGCCACTGACTTTTTTTCTTTTGATATCAAAATTATGTAGGCCGTTTAATGCCAGTTAAAAGTTATCTCTTGATATTTTGTCCAGTTCGGCCTCCTTGGTGAGGTAAACACAATTTTATTAATCACAATAAAATAAAAATAAAAATGAAACTAATAAATTATATATTTTACCTAATTTATTACTTTAATTTTTATTGTTAAATATTATTAGTATTAGTTATTATTACTATTAGTCCACAACCTACAGAAATTTCAAATAAAAAAAATATGATATTTAAGATAATTACAAAAAATCTAATTTTAAAAAGTTTTAATATCCTGTAACTCTAAAACTATGCATTTCCGTACCAATGTTTATAGAAACTTTTTTTCATGAATCAATGAGTACTTATTTAAAACTTTCTCAAGTTAATGATATTATTTTTTTTAAAGGTTACTATTATACATGGTTCAAGGCAAATTAATAAAATTGCGTTTATCTCATCAAGGAGGCCGAAATCGACAAAATATCAAGAGACAACTTTTAATCGGCATTAAACTACTTTCATTAACTTCACTAACAAGAGAAAAAAGTCACTGGCGTACATGCTTTTTTTAGAAAAATATTCCAGTGATAAATCATATGCACGTCCCTGGTAAATATGGCGACACTTTTTTAGCCTTAAAATATTTCGCACTTATAGTAACTTTCACCCTCAAAATTTGATTCGAAACGCTAAAAGTACTTGAAAGAAAATTATGAAAAATCGAAAAAATATTAAGACTTAACACCCTGTAACTAGGAAATAAAGCGGAATCGGACGTATGTTGATATGAAAAAAAACTTATTTTTACGTGAGGAATCTCCCCACGAGAGGTGGCACATGTTTTTTGAAACACGCTGTATATTTATGTATATTTCATGTAAACTATATTGTTGTTACGTTTTTCGTTGGTTCCGTGTGGATAAAATGTTTAATTTATTTAACACAATTTTTTTACACTGTATAATTAACAAAACAATAACGATATAACAAAAAAGAAAAACTATTTACAAACTTACTTTTCTAACGAATATTTTTAATTTATTTAGAGCGGACAGCAAGTAAGCCGCGACCGTAGCTTACTCTCGTCTGTCCCACTTGCGCACCGGACCTCGGCATTTATACGAGTGCGACCCACTGCCGTTCTTTAAAAGATCAGCCTGGGGGCGGACTTTTGTTTACTTCATCAGCTGTACATACTTAGATATTGGGTTAGATTCCGTTTCATATTTTGTCGGTTGATTTTTGGTTTTAACTCTATGATTTTTGGTATTATTTTTTATTGTAGTGCAAAAAAACTAATTATTTTGGTGTTGAAGGACATAAACTACTACCAGATATATGGTCACTCTCGGTTTCGCATAAAAAAAATAGAAAAATTGAAAAATTACACGTTGTGTAAGTGATTTAACCTAAAAGTGCCCATACATTTTTTACTCATCGTGATTTTTGTGTGTGTTTTTTAAGACTCTAACAATTCATCAATAAAGCTTAAGTGGAGTGTGTT